AGCTGTGTGCCGCGTTGCTGATGTGAGGCCTCAACTCCTTCTGCACAACATAACACAAATGGCACTTCCAGAGCTCCACAGCCCCCAGCCACGAAGCACCAACCCGAGCAGTTCTCACGTGTTTGTATTCCTCACATATACAATTTAATACCACATGGTAATCAGAGTACCACTGTTTTCCATACATCTTTCTGTACTACTCATTGTAGCAACACACAAAATAACGATACAGTCTTCACAAAGAGGACAAAATGTACTTCATTGTACAGCTCTTCAGTAAAGACTTCTGCGTGGCCTAAGCCTTCTAGAGCTTGCTGTCACTGCAAAAATTAATTTAGTTAGTAGATTTGTTAGCATGCCACTTGAACTGCGTTAGCACAAGAGTGGACACTCTTCCAAACAATGCTGAGCCGAGCAGAGTAATTTGATTAGCAGCAAACAGCGACTGGATCAAAACTGGTCAACTCGTCATTCCATCTGCCACATCCCCGCTGCACTGCCAGGACCAATGGCACCAGCAACTGATCAGCAACATCTCCTCTAGTACCGAGCCAGGGTTCAGCTTCACTCAGCACTTGGCTACAGGTATTTGTGCATCTCTAGTCATAAGAATGAAGATTCATTTGTAGTATCGGCAGGCGTATCCATGCTAGCTTTATGCTGTTAAGAGTAGTAGGATGTAGCAGCAGAGCTCCACCAAGGGCTGGCAACCAAAGCCCCATTATCCACCCTGGTGTCTGCCACTCCGTCTGCAGCGCTGTTGTTGCCTTTTGGAGCTACACTAAAGCAGAGCTCTGCTTCCTCCACTGCCCGCTGCCGTTTTACTAACCCTTTGGATGGGATAAGTAGGAGTAGATAGCAAACCTTGCTCCAGCTGGATGCCTGGTGTAACTTCATGGGCACATACCTAAAATGATACAGTGATAAATCATTCCTTGTGGTGTAAGCCTCCAGAGCTGTTAGGTGAATTCCACTTGCATCATCAGCAGTCTTTGGCAGGCGGCTCCCAGGTCTGTGCCCAGCCACCTACCTACGATCTGCTGCGAAAGGTAGATGGGCTGCAGCTGGGGAACCACCGCCCTGCGGTCTACACATGTGGTTTAAATGAGACCTTGCGTGTAGCCCCTCTCTTACTCAAGTGCCTTTCACCCATTGTTCTTAAATATATTTTCCCTTAGTTAATTAAGCAAAAGCTTTGCAAAAGAGACCTGCAGCCCAGCGGTGCCTAGCCACAGGGGGCCTGAGGCAGTCTTCTACTAAAAAATTGCAGTAATTATGTAAAAAAGCACCTCCCCGGTGTCTGATCCAGCACATTCCTTAGCACTCTCGAAATAAAAGCTTAGTCCTCCGAGCCCAACGTGTTCGGTGCGAGGTCCCTCGCACCCAGCTCTGCTCACTGGCTCCTCTTCTGGGCAGAGAGAGCTACAGCAGTCATCTTGGCAGGGAGAAAAAAAAAAGCCGAGCAGCTGACCTGGAGGTGGGAATGATGGATTTTGTCGTCTTTGGCTCTGAAAAATGAAGTGGAATGATATTGGCAATTATATTTTATGTGGCTGTTGGTTTAATTTTGTCATTCTAAAAAAAGGCGAATGTAATAGTGTGGGCTTGCTTTCCCTTCAATTTTTTTTCTTTTAATCTGTAAAACTGTGTTTAGGCTAAATGGAAAATTTCAGTATTGCAGCAACATTTAATAAAACATTAAAGTAAATGCTATATGTATTCTATGTTTAGAAACAAGTAATTAAAATAGTTTCGGTGCCAGAGCTCCTCAGGCAATTAAAAATTTTTCTTTCGCCTGTTGCTGTAAGAAAAATCCACAGAAAGAAGGAGCCTGACTATACTTGAGAAATTACAGGCAAAGAGACGTAAATGATCTTTTGATTAAAGCCGAAGGGCTGACACCTGACATAGTAAAAATATGCTCCCTCTGTCAAGCATCTTTTAGTGACAGTCATCTTGATTGCAACAATAATAGTTTAAAAAAATACTCTGAATGAAGTGTGATTTTGAAGTTGACTGAATCAGAAACTTTTTTTTCTGTTTTGCTTTCTCCAGTGAAATTTCATTCACTGTTGGCATTTGTGACCTGCCCATGTGACAAAGTATTAATGTGAAACAGCTATTCTCTATTTTCCCTTATGCAATACATTATGCAATACAGAAGGCTATGCCATCATTTTGATTCATGTGATATTATTCCATACCCTAAGTGCTTTTCAAAGCAAACTGTGTGTCTCAGTTTTATTGCACATTACCAGGTTGCAGTGCCATATAATGACAGTGACAGTTCAAATTTCTCTACCAGTTTCTTCTTTTTCCTTAATATTTCTTGAATCCAGGCTTCTGCCACAGTGTTCATTTGTGTTTCTTCATACTGGAAGTTAGTGAAACAAAGTGTTTCAAGGCTGCATGGTTGAGAAATGAGAGTATTTAACTTTCCAGATATTCTTTTTGCTTTGTTTTTCCACACAGAAAATCAAATGTAATTGGAAACTTGTTCTAAAACCTTATATTTCTTTTATTCTTTTATCTTTAGTGAGGTTTTGTACTTTCAGGTGGCTCTGAGGGTCAGGTCGATTATGAAATCATTGTAAACATCTCTAGGATCTGTGGGCAGTTGAAGTCTTCAGACTCTGTACAGGTGATCCATCAGGTAGTGCTGGATGGCGAGTCCTGCCAAAACCTCTGAACGTGGGTAGTCTCTCCGCAGGCAGGGACCATGGGAACTGAAAAAGAGCAAGAACTACAAGTCTTACAGGGATCAAAACTAAACATCCCTCTTTGTGTGGCTTGCAGAGTCAGCTAGTTCTGCAGGAAGACAGGTCCACGCTATGGCCAAGACACCTCAGCAAAGTGTAAGCTCTAACTACAGGACAAGTGCAAGAGGCAGACAGACTGCATAAGAAGGATTGAATTCAGAGATGATGAATCTATGTGGCATTTCTTATTCATTAGTTGAGAAAATGTCAACAACCCTCCACCATAAAACTGGAGCGTAGCATGTGCTTTGTCATCTGACTGAAACCTACGTTTCCCTTTCACCCACCCACCCACCCCCATCCTAGTTACTAGAATAGAAAGCATAACTCTTTTCCTTTTCCTTCTTTCACTGTTCTCTTAAGCTACATTAACAAATGTATTTTAGCCGCATTAAATTAAACCAGTGAGAGAACCAGTAGAAGGATTTATCACTGGTTTATTACCTGTGTTTTTAAATGACTAAAGTACAATCTTCAGTTATATTAGTAACCATTTTTATTCTAGAGCTCATTGCAGGCTGCGCTGCTGGCTCCCTGTTGTTCATATCTAATCAACTATTGCATTTATGATTACCATATCTATTTATCTATGTACATTCTGCAAACATAACCCATTCAGATAAAGTCAAACAACAGGAACATGATAAAAGGACATTTACAATTACTCAAACACTGAATTTCATCAGAGACGAGACTCAGTTTTTCTTGATGCACGATTTCAAACTGTATCAAGCCATAATGTCAGGTGCTGTGGCCAAATTCAATGTCACCCCTACTGGGGACAGAGGAAAATCATGGCTCACTTAATTCTTTATGTCATCTTCATGGCTATTCTTGCAGTCTTTCTTTACAGAACAAGTTTGTGAAGTAGTCTAACAGTAAGTGTTGTGGAAGCACAGATATTTGCTGAAATCAGCATTGTGTTCTTCCTTTTTCTGTGCTTTTAGTCATTGCTCAGGATGCCTCATTTATCTTTTTTCTCCCTAAGGCTTTAGGGAATTCTGTGCTTCACAGCAGTGTCATAACACTTCTAAAGCTAGCACAGAAGCAGGGGCACTGCTTTAATGAAGAGGAGCTGTTTGATGAAGGTGGGTGGAGGGAAGTGTGAAAAAGATGGTGATGCTGTGTTTGCGATTGAATCTGTCAGTGATGCTGTGCAGCAGTCAACCTGCCCTGCTTGCTGTTCACCACTCGCAAGCTGATGAAAATCAATCACTCTCACAGCAGGTCCAGTCCTGCTCCTCTCTACATCAAAGTACAAAAATAAAATACTACTCACTTCAGTCAAAGCAGGAGCAGGCTTATAGTCCAGCATAAAGAACTTCCTCATGTCTTTCAAAAGCACAGTCTGGGCCAAATGCAAAGCATTAGCCTGTTCCTGTGCTGTTTATCCTGGCTCTAGTACTGGAAGGTGTTGGTCATTTCTGAAAGGTGTTGAGCATTCCTGAGGGAGAATGAGTGCTCTCCATGGCCACTGATGGCCAGGAAAACGAGAGCACCCAGCCCCTCATGGTGGGGCTCAACGCTCTGCAGAATCAAGCCCTTGATAAGGCAGGAGTTCTAAAGAAAAAAGGAACATGTGAACATTTGGCCGAAGGGAACAGTATAAATCTGGAGTAACCTCCTCAGATCACTTCTCTCCTTCCGAAATACCTAGCACAAGGAGTGATAGCTATGTTGTGCATGTTACAGAGCTGTCCGCTTGTGGACCCGGTCAGCTGGCTCCTCTGATGGCTGGTGGGGACCAGGAGGGAAGGCACAAGGTTGAAACTTCACATAATCTGGCAACCTGCAGCTGATGCGTGGCCTACCATAGCGGTTTGTCAGTAGTGAAAGTGTTGATGTTTTAAAAACTCTGGTATTAAAAGTGACTTACAACAAAGTTCCCTACCTGAATGACCTCTGCTACACATGTGCAAAGTTTTCACACTCAGATAGTTTCAGTGGTGTAATTACAGTCCAATGAAAAAATATCCAGTGTAAACAAGCTCTTGGGGACCACTTCCAGATGACACAGGTCAGAGCAGCTCTCATGTTGCTCAAATCTCTGTCCAAGGCTGGGCGGAGAATCAGGGAGCTGTAGCTGCCTCGCAGATAGCGCTAGATCTTCTGCTGCGCTAGATCTTAAGTGAAGCGCTCCGGGGAACCTACGTCATGTTTGTCAGAGATCTTGGCAGGCTGATGAGTGTCTTGAAGCTCCAGGTGAGATCCTCTCCAGAGAGGAGATCTGTGTGGATTTGAAAACTAACAAAAAATAGGAAAGCTCTCAATTTCTTTTGCCTCCGTGTGATGCTACCTGAATGTGGACAACCCTAGTAGGACTGTCCCACATTGCTGATGACTAACTTCATGGCAAAACACCAGCCTCTCCAAACTAATGAGGTACAGAACAATTCATCGAGTAGCCTCAAATAAAGCAGAATGGAAATCCATTGTTCAACTGTCTTTGAGACATAACAAAAATGTTTTTAGAAGTATTTCAAATATACACGACACGACTATTGTAATGTCTCTGAGAAACAGCTTGCCTAATTCATCTACCTCTGATACCAACACAGTGGTTCTGCTGTTTCAGTCCTGAAACATCAGTCTTTTAAAACATTTTTGTTTCATATTCTTGTTCTCTGAAAACAACTTCCATTTCTTATACATCCCTCCACACTGCCACTGATAGCTGGAAAGCAAAGATGTTGCCTTGTGGGGACGCAAGCGACGTCACACTAAAGACCAGGCCATACAATATAGTAGGGGCGATGTCTTTCTGCTTGGGCAACTCCTCAGCTGCCTTGGGTAGATAGGACAAAGAAAACAGGTACGTTTAGATACAAAACTTTCAGCTACACAAAGATTAAGTAGACAGATTGTCTACAGCAATACCAGTATAAAGGACAAATTATTAAAACTTTTTGATGAGCCAGACTCATTTCCTGCAGTCCGCTCCACCCTCTTTGGGATGCAGTGCTTAACTTCTCCTGGTGCCTGCAACCTGAACCGTGAGCTGTTTACTCCCAGCAGCTCGTATCCCCTTCAGTAGCATCTCCACTGTGGCTGGAGACAGGCACACAAATGTGCATTGTCAGGACCCAAATCTGCAAACACTTCAGCTAGGAAACAGTACTTAGTCCTGTGAACAGTCCCATTGACCTTTTGCATTGCACACAGCAGTAAGTGTCTGCAGGACCAGGCTCTCAGTGATTATGTGATTACAGGTACAGCAGTTAAGATTCAAAACAATGCAGCTCATGGAAATGCAAATCATTCTGGTCTCTCCTAAAGCACTAAAAATCCCCAAATCAAGCATCAGTACCTAAAATTAGATCCACAATCAAGTGACAGAGATTATACAACATTCATTGCAAGGTTTGCCAGGATTTTCAAGCAGAAAAGACCCAGAAGGAAATATAGATCCGCTCATTAGGTCTTCTGATATCACAGCGAATAAATTACTTTTTAAAAACATCTTGCATTACAGGGGATATATACTCTCAGGGGAACCAAACCATCTCTGAGCAGCTTGCACTTTTGGCAGCAGCCCAAGATACCACGAGGCACAAATCACACAAATATCTGACTTTGTGTAAATTCTGTGCTCAACATCTGCATGAGCTTTCTTCCTAACAGTATAAAAAATCCTAGCTGATGCTTTGTTTCTTTGCCCCAAATTCAAATGTCATATATGTTATCAGATGCATCAGACAAATTATGGTTATTCCTTGAATGTGGATCTTTTGTGTCTCCCCACTTTACTGGATATGTAACATTGCACATGATCGATCATGTATTGACAGTCAATTGCAGCATAAAACCACAAAAAGGAGGACAATTACAATGCTGTGATGATTTCTTCCCCATGAAGCCATTATTCACCTCCTTAAAGGGCCTGAAGTTCTGTTAAAATTCAGGCGTTATTACCATGCAGTTATTATCGAGGAGTAGAAATGTGATTAATTGGGCATTGTAATAGTCTATAAATATTTAAAGCATTAAACACCAGAAAGGGTTAATGTAATACAGGAAAGTAACATTAGAACTACGAGGGTGAATTGTGGAATGGGAAATGGAAAAGTTTTGGTATGCTTGAATGTGGAATAATCTCCCAATAAGAGAGAACTGATATTACATTACTTGACATTGTTTCAGTGATGATCCCCAAACAGCATTTAAAATCTACTGAGTTAAAACATGTAAGACGAGAGACACAGTAGAACATGAAGCTCATTACTTGTGCAAACTGCTGTAAACAGAGTCCATCACTCTGATACTAAGAGTAATGAGTTCTTTGTTGTCCATAAATGGTATAGCTGGAAATATGAGGAAAAAACTCACATTGGTTTACATCTCTTAATTTTCACGCCATGAATACGGACACTTGCTTGGTCACCCACCTGGCCTGTTTCAAAACCAAGACATACACCCTCTTTAGTGCCTGTAAAACTGGTAGCACCTGTACACCATGCCAGGATATTAAGCTGTTCATATCATTTTATCAATGCTGTTGAGATCTTTGAACAGGAGAGAGAAATAACAGCCACTGTGGCTGTGGTTTCTGACCTGCTTGTGAACAGCTCAGCTAACTCAGCTGGCTGGTTCAGAGTTTTTAAAAATGCAAGCTGATAACATACTCTAAATATTGGACTAAGCAATTTCAGAGTGCATATTTACTTTACTGTCTTGATTACTTTTTCTTTCCAGTTTGCTCGGTAAGACTGAAATATTTTGCCTTAAAAAAGCTGATCGTAGACAGACGGACAGACAGCATTTATCGAAACCTGTAGTACACAATGCAGGCTCTGCTTGTGCAGGAGATGCTCTTAGTCTGGACACGTGATATTGGGAATGCTAGAATCCTAACCTAATCCTAACTGCTTTTTGTTTGAGTCTCATTAAGCCCTCCCAAAGTAAGCCATACATTATATGTGGAACTTTCCTTGTTAAATCCTCTGTTATCACTCGGAAATTTACTCTGTGATTTTGAGAACATTATATTAGCTCAGGATCTGTACATGTGCCATATCCCTAAATGCTTCCCTCCAAAGGGACTTCTGTATGTCTAGGATTTTGAAAGGACCAACACAAAGCCTTTCAGAGAGCGGTACAGTGTTTCAGGTGCCGTAGCAAGAGATGAGGAGTAAGTTCAAACTTGTCTGCCTAAGAGAAGAGTAGGAGAAAGGCAGCTTTCAAATTTCTGGGGCATTGTGAATTCAGGAGGAAGACGAAATACTGAGGCAGCAAGTGAAAAAGAAAAAAAGGTTACTGAAACCCTTACAAAAGGTTTTGTATTTTTTTTCTATTTAGAGAATGTGGTTTTCATAGTCCTACTAAATATTAGCACTGACACTACATGGTGGATGAGATCGCTGTCAGAAGGACAGAAGATTGCTGAATCAGAGCGCTGCGCATTTTCATGATGTCGTGAGAAAGGAACGAGCTCAGCTGAGAACAAGTAACACACATTTCCTCCAGCAGCGTCAGTTTTTAGCTTCCAGTCAAAAACTATGCCTTTTTGTTCTTCACACTTACCAGTGTGAAGTTGTCCCACTAACCCATTCAACCCTGCCCCTTCTCTGCGGTCCTCAAGCAGTTCACATCTCCTTCAGACTGCGGAGACACGCGCTACCTCTCTCTTACCCATCTATGGATTGTTTTCCTCCCTGAATCCCAGATTGCACAATGGGTATGATTGCTGCTTACCTAATGTTTGTTATAAAACCTGTGACAGCATTTTTTTCCTCGCTGCTCTACAAGAGGAAATGGCATTTTATTTGAAATGCTGTGCTGAGTGTCAACAAGAGAGGTGTTTTAAAAGAGCTGAGAAGTATGCTGTCAGGAAAATGTTTCCAGGCCTACCTTCCCTCCCACATCCAACTGTGTTGAAATAATCAAATGCTATACCCCTTGTGCTTGGGAAGAGGATGACTAACAGCAGCTAATTACTGCTCAGTCTGTTGCCCTCAGCAGCTATTGGTCTGAATCACACCTGCCGGCACAGAGGGGCACAGGTTGCAGCGTGGTGCTCTGCCGGCAACTTCATTTTCAGGGTTTCCCTTGGGAGGAAGCAACTGGGACAAGGACTTCGTATATTAAAATCCTATCACAGAGGCTGCTACTGCTCTATCTGACTCAGCAGATGGTCTGAACACCCTGGCTCTGAGCCTCTCCAGGTCAGCCCCGTCCTGCTGGGGACCCTGGACCAGACCATGTCGTACCGCATGGAAAGGAGAAGGTGGTTACTAATTTCTTCCTGCTCCATCCTTCTGCAGCAGAGACTGAACCTAGCTCACTGGTACTGAATATTAGTTTCTGCTTTCCTCTCGGTTTGCTGCTGCAGTAGCAAAGAGTTGGCAGAGGGCCTTCTGTATCATATTTGATCTGTTGACACTTGCAGCAGTGCTGGACTCTAACACTGTAGGAGTTTCCGTCTGGAGAAATATGGTAGCCCTTCCTGCCTCCTCATTCCACTCCCTGCGGAAAACCTCCCTCTTGTTTTCCCAAATTCTGGGCCAAATAAAATATACCAAAATAACACTGGAGACAGAGGAGGAATCTCTTGCCTCAAACTTGGCGTCGGAGCAATACATGCAGCCATTACTCCTCTCACAAGTGAAGTCACGTGGGTGGAATCCAGGCAGGGTTTCACCAGCAAGGACTACAGGTTCACCCTGGCTGCTATGCAAACAGATATACCCCTTGTCTGGGGTGGCCAGAATGACCACCTCTGTCTGTTTTCATGACAGGCCAAGTTCGTGAAAGTCCAGGCATTACACTCTTCAGCTGGCTAATTTAAAATTTTCTAGGAAAGAAAGGGCCAGGAGGTCTTGAACTATGGTGGAGTGGCCTGGTGGACAATGTGCTGTGACATTTCACCGTCACATGGGGCAGAGGTAAGAAAACAATACTTTTATCAGAGTTGTTAGAGGTCCTGCCTCACTCATAAAGCTTTTTGTGACTGCAGGGATGTTCTCCTGAGTAACCACGTAGTTCTGCTGCACTTGTATGATGTGTTCAACGCCTAACGTGTGAGCCAGAGGGTGGCTTTCTATAGCATGACCTGCCCCCCACAAAGCAACCATTATTATCCTGTCAATGCGGAGCACAGCTCTGTCGTAGGAAGCACGTGGGGCAGCAAGGCCCCGCACAGGGATACTGCAGAGCATCC